AGTTGTGTCAGCTCCAACATGGGTTGCTGAAATCAGCAGCGATCCGTTCTGATTAATGGAACCAGCAATAACTGTGCTGCCAGGCTTCTTAGTCACAGGCATCGCTTCACCTAAGGAAAGGTCAACAACAGATAACTGATGGAGCTTTTGCACCAATGTTATTTCTGGTAATAACTACTGACTCTTATATTAAGAAAAAAAGTTAAACTTTTCATCTTCAGATTCATTTAAAAGAAAACAAAAACATGTTTACACTTGCAAACAAAATAAATGCTCACCTGTGATAAGAGATTCATCTACCATAGAGTGTCCTTCAATAACACGACCATCCACTGGGAATTTGCCTCCTGGCACCACTTTGACAACATCACCCCGCTGAACCAATTCAACATCAACTTGCTCCTCACTGGAGAGTTTTCAAACAAGCCATTGTTAACTGAAGCCACCCAGGCAAAAGCACATAAAGCATAATTCCACCAGTTACCACTGTGAGCTTAACAAAGGCTGTTTTACAGAGCACTAAGCCTATCATATGTTAGTTTACCTTCCAGCTGAGTAAATCCACTTATTTCCTTACTAGCAAAAATTAGTAAGATTCCAATAAAACAAACTGCAGTGATGCTTACTTTTCTGCATTTTAACATTTTCAAATACAAATCTACCAGCAAATCTGAAGTCATTTTCTTCATAGTTCTACAGAATTATAACATTTGTCTGTGAACTTAATAAATTATCAACAAAAATGGAACAATAGAAAATGCAAATGACGAAGATACCTTAAGAGAATGTTATCGGGGCCCAAGGTAACAATAGTTGCTTCAGTAGCTTGTAATGAAATTAGTCTTGCCAGTGCTTCTGAGGTTTTACCCTAGAATAATAATTTTCATATTTTTCTGACTACGGTATTGCAAAAAAATTGTGGGGTAAACAACAACTTCACATGCTGCAATTTACTGTTAAGAAAATAAGTTCTGAAAATGGATTTGTATTTCTTCATATTTTTTACTAGTTCAGTTATTGAAGACGATTTTATAACAAAAAAAGGTTAAAAAATATACAAGGCTTTTGCATTTTTGAAGTATGCACCACTCTGAAATTACACTCAGTGTCCAACAGCTTGTAGATATGCTGCTTTCCATTCAATGATGTCAAGAACAAACGTTTACTACGTACTGTAGGCAGCACAAAACTTCAGCCTTCTACCATCACTACTGAGAACTGTCTGAAATACAACTGCCATGCTATGCTCTTTTTGCCCATCACAAGTACTTTTACATCCCTTACCTTTGCAACGTGCTCCAGCCACCGGCCCAACGAGATGAATGCCAGCAGCATGGGAGGTGTGTCAAAGAAAGTCACAGGGTTTACTTTTGCTTTCTCAGCCATTGCAACTAGAAGAATTACAAATGAGTAGACGAACGCAATGGAGGTTGCCAGAACAATGAGCACATCCATGTTTGCAGTTCTGTGCTTCAGTGCTTTGTATGCCTGTATATAGAAGTGCCAGCCTCCAAATATCTGTAACAGTAATGGCACCTGTTATATTCTGTACACACCATCGTAACACACAGCAGCAGTATTTTGCTGAGAAGCAATTTTTTTTGTTTTTGGTCATTTATCTTCTCCATCACTTATTGAACAAAGTCCCGTCTCTGCTCAAGAGCTACATCTTAGATCTTCCCTTCAGTATTCCCAGATCACCTCATCTCCATGCAGTTCTACCAGCTCCTTCCCATGCCCACTGGCTACAGCTAGACAAGCTGCCCAGATGCTGTCAGACTGCATAGCACCCACACACTGACTGACCTGTCCTTAACAGCCCCCAGCACTGTTTATGTTAGCAGCAGTGGTGGCACCACAGAAGTATTTTCCTCTAGAGTAAGAACAGCCACTTGTCAGATTTAATTTCCCAATGTTTTTCATCTCGAATGTCTAACCCCAACAAACTTGGAGTTGTCTTACCATATTGCCACTTACCTGTACAGGGACACAGAGTAAGAATGACAGAAAATTCATAACAGACAGTCCTGGCAGGAGCTGGTGTTCCAAGAACATAGAGGAGTGAATGGCCTCCATTTCCTCACTACTCATGTTGAGATGTCTGTGAGCATCTGAGAGTTGACTGTCCACAACCATCATGTAAATCATCATCGCCATGACAGGGATACAGAAAACCAGACTCACAAAAAAAGACCTTCTCCACCTTAGGTTTAAAAATAAATACATTTGTTTTGCTGTCAAGTGCTGAATAACATTTTAGCTAGCAAGTCCTTACAGACTAACAAAATTTCATAAACTTTACTAAAAGAGAAAATAGACCAAAAAAGCAAAGATGTTTATATATAATCTAAATATATTCAGGAATACTTACTGCCTTATTTCCTGTCTGTGATCTAGATGACTAGCAGATCTATCTTTTTTCACTAAAGCAGTTGTGAAATCTAAATCCTAAGGAGAAATAAATGAATAAATAATTAAATGAGAACAGTGAAATTTTAAAGACTGACTGCACTCTTAGTAACTTATGCACATATTACTGATAACACCAGCCTGCACAACAAATCAAATGATTTGTTTCATTAACTTGTTTCATTCATTTGTTAGTTTTAGATGACTGCTTTTATCTCTGCACAGGTCAACTCAAGAAGTCATAGTCTGATGTAGAAATCAACTTTTCTAAAACATTAAAATGCAAGTCTGAAACGTGACTTTCAAAAAATGATTATTCCTGAAGTACAGAAAATGAGGGACAATGTCATGTAATTTATTTAATCTTTTTTCTGCTACAGTGTTTTACTCTCCTGCAAAACTACAGGTTAACTTCAAATAGCCTGGCTTCCCCAGTCTCTCTCTTTAATGGAGCACTGTTTCTGAGCTGTGAGAACGCTTACATTACCTGCAGAAATCTGCACTGAGAGCAAGACAGTGGTGGAGCAGAATTTTTTCCCTTTGATAGCTTTCCCCTCTGTTGTGGAGTATGAAACTATTCAAAAGACACCAGTTGTTTTTATCAGATGTGGTGCCTTCACAAAACTAACCTTTATCACTTGTATAATATCTCGAGGACCTATAATCTCAGGATCGTATTTAATATGTGCTTTGTTGGTTGCAAGAGCTACTGAGCAGTATAAAACACCATTAGTCTTCATGAGGGTGGATTCTATTTTGTGCACACAAGCAGCAGATGTCATTCCTCTCACCTGTAAAATAAAGGTTTCCTTTAGTCAAAGCAAAAAGTTAATGCATCTTTAGGAAACAGAAAAAGAAAACGTGCTTATAACAACCCTGACCTACTTATTGCTTATGTCTGAGGTCTGAAGCAGCAACACTGGAGGATCACTTATGAAGGATGAGAGCACTACAGAGGAAGACTTAGTTATTAAGCTCTGCTGAACCTCTGCTGCCTCTTCATGCTCAGAGCTGGGACCTCTGTGCTAGACTCAGCTACAAAACAATAAATAGACAAATCCTGCAACGTGCAGAATAACTCCACCAAAATACAGGGGTTTCTCTTTGACTTCAGCATAGTAGTTTGAGCCAACACAGTCTGAAGGACAACCTTAAAATCAATACACAGTTTGTGATACGTACCTAATGCACTCCTATGGTTTGAATTTTATTTATTTATTTTTTTACGTTAAGCTCTATTGTATTTTTCAAACACTAAGAAGCAAATGATTACACAATCATGTTCAATAGATAAAAATAAAGACAAGGGTAGTTGTTTTTAATTATTAGCTTACAACAAGATCCAGAATTCCATCTCCTTCACCACTGCTTTCCATCACGGTCGCTCCAAATCCCAGTTCCCGTATGAGCTCTGCAATCGCTGAAGGGTGTGTGACAGCAGGATTGTACCTCACTTCTGCCTTTCCTGCCATTAGGGCAACAAGTACTGAATGTATTCCTAGAAAAGAGGGATGTGAAAATAGTTGGTGTTTAAGACAGGCCTCTGTGTTTACGATAATGTAACAGCACAACAGCAATCCAATGAAGTTGAGAAATCTACCACATTTCAGGTACATACAAATGAAAACAAGCATTTCTGCAAGATACATCACCAGTGCAACAAAAGCTTGGGAGTGCAGATGTGAACGATGGAAGTGCTACTGCAACTGGAAAACACGCAGCTCGCGCTTACCGCTTAATTACAAACAATCATTTACTCTGTATGAAAAGATGACCCACTTATGAAAAAACCTAAAATGTACTTCAGCCTATTTTTCTGATTTAATTATAGCATTTCAAAATTCCCTTTGCTCAAAAGAGAATTTGAATGAACGTGCTTTGGAAAGCGTAAATCTAACAACGTGCAATCCTACTGCACTAAGTTAAAAGGAAAGTACAAAAAGCTTTTAGGATGGAAAAACAATATTCCAGGTTCACTTGGAATATATCCATCTTCATTATGATAATTAAGTACGGTCTATAATAATGACTCCTCATTATACTTATGCAACTATGTGTTCCTGCAAATTTACACTCTGACAGAAAGACAGACATCATTGTCTTGACTTGCAAAGCTAAAATTAGCTTATCTCTCTTTAATACTGCCATACTAATAATACTTCCATACTAATACTGCCGTTCTCTAATAGTTCCATTTGCAATACAGACATAAATGCTTCTGGTTTTTAGCTTGCAGATCTGGGCAAGTCACACCAATAGAAGAGATCTGTTTCAGTTTCAAGAGGATTCTTATTTGATGTCTATACATTCTCTTTAGAGTAACCCAGCTCCTGCTTTTGCAAGGGATGCTCCAGCCAGCATGCCAACACAGAACCAAGAATTACATTCTCTTCTCATCCTATGAGCCAACTGCAAGTAGACTGCGTTCTCTCTTAAGAAATTTGTTTCAACAGTACTTCTTTTGACAAACCCCCAATTACAAACAGCACAAAAACTAAATGTGTTCTCTAAAAGAAATGCTTAGAAGTGTAACAGATCATACTGACCATCTTCTCTTCTCAAATTTCTCTCAATGTTGGCTACACATGAAGCACATGTCATTCCTGTGACTTGGACGTAGCACTTTGACAAGCTCTTGGACTCCTGTTTAGCAACAAAGCCCTGTGACATTTTGGAGGTAGGCACAGCAGATTCTGGCTGCTCTTTGGGTGTGGGCTGAGTTATTCCCGCAGGCGGTCCTGTCTTTTCTGAAAAAGAGATTGAAATTTGTGTCATTACATACAGAAGATGAAATTACCTACGACCTGGTACTACGTAAGGCATTACTACACACACATTTTCAGGCAAAAAAAGTCCATCTTGCATCAACAATAGAGCAACTCTATACCTTGCCGGGGCAGAAAGTGATCAAACTTAGCCTAAGTTTAGAGTACCATGTTAAAAATATAGCATTGATTTGTACACTTGAAGTGGTACCAACCAAAAACAGGCAGTTTTTTTTCCCCCATCCTCATGCCAGAAAATTAAAATTTGACTATTTTATGAACAAGGAGTCTGTGATGTCAGTATCAGTTGCTTTGATGGAGTTGGTAATTGATGCATTGTTTTATGAGGCTACAGAAATACTGCTGGCTAAAAAAATTATAAAAAAGATTCCACAGATTCTAGATTATTTTATCACATATTTTCGCAATACTTGAGCCATAAAAAACCCCCAGTCTTGATTAATCTTTTCTATTAAGAAAATCATGGCCATATCTAACTGTCTGTTCCAAGCAACATTTCTCAGTCCAATGAAGTGTGAAGAAATTGTCTTCAGGCCCATTCCTAACATAGGATAGTGAACAGCAGTCAACATTCAGGCACTCATGGTATCGTATTTGCTGTGCGACTTCATGACAGCTGCTTGTTTAAAATCCTGTATTCACAAAGTACAGAATTTATAAGAACAAAAGAACCTAAAACCAAGTTGATTTAGCATTTTAACAGGTGAAAGGAAGTAGTGCCTAAGTAGTGCAGAAGTTTAACTAAAATTTGGTCATGAAGTGTGCGGCCCAGTGAAGGGAATCTGTAGGTCAGGTTGTTGGTTGCACTTGATGATCACAAAGATTTTTTCCAATTCAGACGGTGTTCAGACCACTGAAACTTTGCCTGTCTCGTTAAAATTTTTCACTTGCTTTTCCTCATTGTATTCATCCATCTTGTGGTACATCCTTTATCCTCTTTGATAGGTTGCAAGCTAGACATCTGCTTTGCAACCTTAGCTTTATATGTAATTTTACTGACTTTACCAGAGGCACAAGGTTCATACACATTTTGTACAGAAATTCAGTGTTTTTGGCTTTAGAGAATGGCTCTCAAATCACAGACAGCTGCTTCTCATATCAATTCAGATGCTATATTTATGCAGGAGCAATATAAAAGGAATTAAATGTGAGTATGTGGCTTTATTACTTTGGTTACTGCCATAAAATATCTCACTTGCTCTATTCCTTAAAACTTACTGAATAAGAAAAATGAAGCTTCATTGATCCCTCAAGAAGTCGCTTCCCATTAATACTCACCTGGATTATCTCTGTAAACCTTCTGGATTTTGCTACCTAGCTATCTGTTCCCACTGTGCAATTACTTTTAGCATACCAGATATAATGGCAAGCTACATTTTAAATTTCTTCACTGATATCCACACTTCAGGTTTTTGTCACTCTCAGTCACGTCAAAGTCAGGTTACAGCCCTTTGGTTACTCCTCACAAGTTTTTCCTCTAATAATTTGCTACTAAAGAAACTAGCCCAGTAATCTACTATTCTTAGCAGCATGCAAAGGCCCTTTTACCCTCCACGTTCATTTCATGAATATCAGGCAGCAGCAAATTGGGACACCATTTGAATATCAATATTCCTATTTATATTTCCAGATATCTCAATCATTTCTTATCCAGTTCAGAATCTTCAAGGAAGTGTTACATGTACACTTAACTCATTCACTAACAATGAAGACATAAAGTTTCTCTCCACGTGCAGGAAGTACAACATGCTAACTGCTATTTTCATCTTCAGTGGTATCAAATCCCAAACATAAACACAGAATGGCCCGGGTTGGAAGGGACCTCAAGGTCACGAATCTCCAACCTCCCCCTGCCACATGCAGGGTCACCAACCTCCCCATTTAATACCAGACCAGGCTGCCCAGGGCCCCATCCAACCTGGCCTTGAACACCTCCAGGGATGGGGCATCCACAACCTCTCTGGGCAGCTGTTCCAGCACCTCACCACTCTCATAGTAAAGAACTTCCCCCTGACATCCAACCTAAATCTCCCCTCTCTCAACCTAAAAACATTTCCCATTGTCCAGCTCTTATTTACCTTTTCAAAGATTTGATTCCCCTCCTGTCTGTAGGCTACTTTTACAAGTTTAATATGTCATTACCTGGCAAAGAAGCATCAAACCCCATATTTTCTATGGAGCATCGCAAATCTTCTGGGCATGTCTGCAGAGGGTCATATTCTATAATTCCATTACTATTTGCCAGAGAGACATTAATAGATTTTACACCAGCCTTTTGGGAAATGACTCCCTCAATAGACTGCACACAAGAATTGCAAGTCATTCCCTCGATGTTTATCACAACGACTTGAGTAAGGGGCTGGCCAGCATCCTTCACAGACTTCAGTGGAGACGCCAGTGCAGGGAAAAGTGCTACATTTTCATATTTGTCAAGAAGGCTGACTTTAAATGTCTGTGGGGACACTGCCTCTATGGCACTTCTCAGTACATCTATGGTAATTAAGTTTGGGTTGTATTTTACAATAGCAGATTTATTCTCTAATGAAACAACTATATTTGTTACTGATGGGAGCGTTGATATGGTGCTTTGAATATTGAGGACACATGAATTGCAGTGCATGCCATCGATTCTGAAGACAGCAGTCTTTGTATCATTCACATTTCTTGTGTTTTCTTTCAGTGGTGCTGTGTCAGAAGCTTTGGTCTGAGTATTCTTCAACCTTTCCAGGTCAACTGCGTTGAGTTTAAGAGGTCTAGGCTGCTTTTTGAAAGATGCTGTGAAACCTGCAGCTTCGATTTGGCATTTGATCTCTTCTGCTGTAATTAGATGAGGCTGATACACAACAACAGCTTCCTGATTGTCCAAGGACACTGAAAATTGAACAATAAAAAGGAGTGTGCATTACTGCCTTAAGCATAACAAGCATTCTTCTGTAAGAGCAATAGATGTCATCAAGGGTTACAAAAAATGCTTCAAATATCCAGAAAATTAACTGGAATGGAAAGAAGATTTAAGTGGCCCAGTACATTTCAATGTTTCAAAGTGATTTAAGTTCAGTCATTAATTGTCTGAACAATGCCACAATTCCTGCATTTTCTTTTTTCTTTTCAGTTTTTGCTCTTGCCCCAGGATGCTCACAAATGACATCACTATTTCTTAACAGATACATTCTTTTATCCAGGGCCTGCTACATTACATTCATGTTAAAGCTATTTACACAGATAATTTCCTTTTGGATACAATTGTGAGACAATATTAATTTTAATTGGAAAGAAGATATAAACTAATATTAACTGCAACACAGAAAAGACATCTGGTATTGAAGGATTCTATGACTGAAAATAAATGTCAAGAACTCTACTACTATTCCAGTTTCCCTATCAAAACAAACCACTGAATGCTATCATTCACTTAACAGAAATATCCTCACCACAGTTTGGTTCCCCTTTCACTTCTAGTCCAAATTAAACATGCAACTATGCATCTTGTACCACAATAGGTAATTAACTGTTGTATAGAACTAATCTAAAACCAAGGTATCCCCAGAATGCCATCAGAAGACAGTATCTATTTTTACAAAAAAAAAAAAAATCTATCAGAAAGGCTTTACCTTTAATCCGTTGAATCCCTTGCAGTTTGCCAATCTTCCCTTCAATAGTGCTAGTGCAGGAATGGCAGGTCATCCCGTCCACTTTCAGGCGCAACAAAACACTACTTGCATGAGACCAGCTGGGATCTTCACATGTTCCTGGAGTTACTTCTGGTGGTGAAATACTTAAGCCCACTCCTGGGACCATTTGGACAATCTGCTTGCCATTTACAACCGAAGAAAGGAAAGTCACCACTGCAGATTTTTGATCAGAAGACATCTTAACATCCAGGATACCTTTGTTCTTCAGCAGTGCGCTACGAAGCTCTTTAGATGTTAGAGCTGATTGAGTAGGAATAGTAAGAAAAATTGTGTCAGGTAAAACAGGTTGTGGGTTTGAACCAGCTGATGTAGCATCAAACCCCATGTCATATATTGCTTCCTGCAGCGTTGCTGGAGTGTGCAGTTTTGAGTCATAAATAATGATGGCATTCTTATCTTCTAGAGATACCTTGCAAAGAGAAAAATAACAAAAACCAATTTAGCAAATTGTAATATTAAGAAATAAGAACTAATAACCTGCACGGGATTATGAATGCTATTATTTGCAGATGTTAGTGATACTTGTCCAGTATCATTTTATCCATCACTACCCACTCTGAACCATGAAGCCATACCAATGGCCATCACACAATAACTTCTGCTCATGTAACAACACGGCTAGACAAAGAAGATTGTTTCTTCTCCTTGCCAATTTCAGAATCCTTTAAGAATCTGTCAGGCCACGTTTTCTTAAGACATCCAGGCAACATCAATACATCTTATAGTGAAAGAAACAAAACTTGCAGAGTCAAACTCTCTAACTACTCAGTGCAATTCAACGGAAAGCAAATGAGCCCAGAGAAAAAAGAAATTCTTAACCGTTTGCACAATTTTGCAGTTAGTAGTAATATAAAAGTAATTACAAGGATAGGAGAAAAAGTTCTTTGAAAAATCCAGAATATTTAAGTAGCAGTGAAAGGAGTCCAATAATTCTTGGCATTTTAAGCACAGGTTATTACTCTGCTTTGTGGAATAAACTGCAGGCTTCAGAGAGCAAAACTCAGTTTTGAAATTAGATACGTGGCCAACACCAAAGAAGCTGGTTTTTTTTTTTTTTATCTCTGTACATTCTGGCAATCCAGAAACTTTCTGATTTAGTATTAGCCTTTCACAGTCAATGGTACAAACATCCACAATTTAATTTGCTCCAAACTGATGATACATCAAATACAATTATTGCAGGTTCCAAAAGGAAAAGCCTCCTGCCAGAGGCCTAACACAGTCATTAAATTCTATCTTTTCTCTGGGCAAAGCAACAACCTAAAGGCCACAGACATAATTAAATCACACCAGATAAATGATTTTAAGAACAACCTGTCCTCATTTTTGTCCAAATTATGAGCCTTAGCAGCATTAGGAATATGGACGCTTATTGGTTTCATTGCAGTTGGAGGCAAAATTACCTAAATGCAGCCCTGCTTGTCTGTATGAGCAATCCAGTATTCACCTCTCTGGCTCACCTAGTTCATAATCGCTCAACATAAACATACTTTTTGTTTCTCAGAGAATTCTTAGAAATTCTAAAAGCAAATCACGTTTCTGTAAGCATACATGAACTCCTACTTCACACAGAAGTAAACTGTACTAACTGGCATTTTATTTGCCACTGTACATTCATTTGCACTGAATGGTGAACCACGAGAAACCTTTTGAAATAAGCTAGTGGCACCAGCTGTATGCCCCCAGATGCAGAGTGCCAAACATGGCTAAGGAAAGTGTTCATCTCTGACATACCCACTAAAATGGAAACAAATTTGACACAACCAAGAAAATACTATTTGCCTATATATATTTGCCTATAGAAAATACTATCTAGAGTAAACATCAACTACTACAGAATGTTACTGCAAGATTTCACTATCTAGTAATTAAACTTAGCAATTTCATGCAGCTGTAATTGTAAGGACTGCTCCTTCTTGCACAAACTAGCCGTAGGATCAAAAGTTATCTCCTCTGCACCAAGAAAGCATCACAAGTAGAGGTTAACATCAAGGCAGTTCAAGGAAGTCTGGATAAGGGCAAACCAAGTAGCTCCATCAATTGCTCAGGACTATAATTGTGCTGTTATTTCTTTTACTGGACAGCACAAAAGAACGTGAGCATTTAGCTTGTTTTAGTAAGCTTCTCATTATTTCACAATACTGAATTAAGCACTGAAATTCGCACTACTGAACTGAGGCAGAATCTTACTTGAAGAGTAACAGATGACAACTCGGCTCCCTGCACAGCTCAGTTCTGTGCAGTACAGTAAGCATTAGCTTTTCTCTTGCTTACACCAGATAAGAACAAAACTTTCTAACAAAAGGGCAGCGTTACTTACTTTGATGTTATGGATGCCATTCATCTTCCCAACATGCTGTTCAATGGCCTGAACGCAGGAGTGGCACGTCATTCCCTCCACACCAATAACTATGGATCTTGCCTCCATTGTCAAACTCTACTCAGGTCTTCTCATCTCTGTTGGTCAAAAAGAATTATGATTTTTTTCTTAAATTAAAAAAACAAAAACAAAACCAATCTGCTGCAATTTAGCAGATGATGTACCTGGCCACGTAACTCTAGTAGATTTCAAAATCTGATCAAAATATGATGTTGGGCAAGACTTAACAGGAAGGAGGCATTTAGCTACTTGGTCCTATGAATTTTCAGATAGACAAAGTGATTGATTTGTATTATAGTCACGATCATTTAATCATATGCAAGAAAGCTGTGACTCACTGGTGTGAGATTAAATTACTTGGAAAAGAAAGCACTTGAAAAAACAGATTAATAGAGGACAGCATATAAAGCACAGGGACAGGGGACGATTGTCTCTTTTGCTATATTAGCAAGAGGAAGTAATGCTGGAACTAGTCCTCAGGAATAAAACAAGCTTTTTCCACATCTCATTCAGAAATATTTAATTTCTACTCCTCTCAAATAATCATTATTTTTGCTTGTCAGTACAAGACCAGGAAAAAAAGCCAAAACAAAAAACAAATTAAAAAAACTCCCACTAAGCCTGAATGAAATTTGCCTATAGAGATAATATCAATTGCAAAAGAATTCATTTGTGCAACACATAGATTAAGTAACAGAGGACAAGATTTTTTTAAACCTCTGTAAATTCACATTTTTTTCATTATATTTTCATATACAGCTAATGAGCAGGATGAGAATCGGTCAAACTGGCTGCATTGAAAGCATCAACAACTTCAGATGACTAACCCAACAGCTGAAGTCACACACGTGCTTAGATGGCTATTACCCTGGGGACTTGTCTTTGAAACCAGACTACAGTAAGTAAGAACAGCATTTAACAAAATTAATTTGTTCTCTCCTTGGTAGCATTTCACAACTGCGTCTGAATGTTTCTGGTTTTGCTTTGAGACACTCTGAAGCCACATGTGGAATACTGGAAGGTTTCACTGTAGAACCGGGTTTACCTCACCTGCATAGAATCTCCAAGTGCTGAAGCTTAGCCAACAGGTGAGGACAGTGCAAACCTTTGAATTATAGTAAGATTTCCAATGGATTAAATAAATATTTAATTCAAATGCATTCTATGCGAAGAGCCAGGAACACATTGCATACTTGTTGACCAGATACTAGCACGTGCAAATTTAACTACAATTACTAGGTCAAAGCATACAAAATAAACATGCAAACATCATAAAAGATAGTCTGAGAAGCTGATTTTAAGGATTTCCCTAGTGCATTCCCTGAAGCCCACAAATGACCAGCCAAGTGATCTGAACTGTAGTGTCAGCCTTTGTATTCCAGGAGGCAATAACAGTTTTGTTGAAGAACCACAGTGTATGCCACAGGGGACAACAGGAACTCACGCACATCGATGATAAGCACGGCTATTGGATAGGAATGGTCAGCAAGTTGCTGAGAAAACCTCATGGTCATAAGGGCTTTGAACACCATGAAGAGCTGCTTTTACAGCTGTTCAACCGAGGAAAGTTTTCCCCTCACAGTCACAGAAGTCTCAGCAACATTCCCACAGCTGCTCAGATCCTTACCAACCCCCCCAACAACCCACAGCACCTGACCTTCCTAGAAGGCATCACGTATTTACTCAGAATATATTGTGAAGTGCTGATGTTTCATCCTGCCATCCAAATAACGATGAAGTTGGGAAGCAAAAAGGCTGCATGTGCACCTCAAGGCTGATGGCAACTGTGGGATCAGAAGCAAAAAGCAGCTTCCTGCTGTAGCTCTTCTTCCAGACACGAGCGGGAGTGTGAAAGGATGCACTGCAGAACACGTGCATCCTTTGGTGGTCCCAGTGCCGAGAGATCCAAGGGAAAGCAGCAGGCAGCAACAGCTTCAGTTATTGCTAAGCCCTGAAAATCAGCATTAACACTTGCACTGGCTGGGCTGTTGGGTTCTGCTGACTCTGAAGATAAAACAGCAGCTTATATTAAATAAGGCATCACGTTATGCTGTTCTGTACAGAAAACGATAACTTGGTGTGCTATAACTTGGTGAACTAATACGATAACTCTACCTAAGAGTTAGTACAGGTCTCACTTCTTGCCTATTCTGATGAT